ATAGTTTTCTACGCAAACACTATGTCTTAAACTGAGAAGTTAGATCTCTTTCACAAAACCCATATGAACAAAGTCATCAAAGATATTTGATGTTAACTTTTGAAAAAACATAATAAATTCACTTTAGTATCGCAAAATTGGAACACTGTTCTTTTATGTTTTCTTTTTTATATACTACTAAACATATTAAAATTATATATAAAATAAATTAAATATAAATACATTTTAATATTTTACAGAACTATGTATATTAATTTTATATAATTGTGTTATATAATATATAAATAAAAATGTAAATAAAAACTCAAATTCTACATAGCATACATAATATAATTTATATTAAATCTGTTGGAAATATATGTTTTATAGATACAAATAAAATGTACTTTATATATTTGAATTTATTATGTAAATATAATATAAATATTATATTTTTGTAGTTTTAAGATAGATATTTCTGTATATGAAAATGTATATTGACTATAAACTACTTTTCAAAAGATTGGGCTTAGTAAAATCTGAAACTTTTTTTTAGAATACTTTTAGGTAGAATATTTTCATTAATATTCAACTTAGTGACAGTAGAGACATGGTTTCTAGAAGAATAAATGTTCATATTTTACAGTATTATGCATATTATGTATAATTTTGTTTCATAATATATAAATAAAAGGTAATAATAATGAAAACTCCATATCAAATTCTACATATTTAACATATTAATAGAATGTATATTAAATCTGTTGGAAATATGATATATGCTATATGCTTTATCATGTAAATATAATATAATATAATATAATATACACTATGTCTTATATTTTATGTTAACTTTTGAATAAACATAATAAATTCACTTTAGTATGGCAAAATTGTAACACTGTTCTTTTATATTTTTTCCTTTCTTTTAACTTTTTTTAAATACTACTAAACATATTAAAATTATATATAAAATAAATTATTATTAAATTATAAATAGTTATATATAATTTGGTTATATAATATATAAATTAAAATTAAAATTAAAACTCCATATCAAATTCTACATAACATACATAATATAATTTATATTAAATCTGTTGGAAATATATGTTTTATAGATACATATAAAATGCACTTTATATATTATAATTTATTATGGAAATATAATATAATATATTCATATTTAACTTTTAAGATAGATATTTCTGTATATGAAAATGTACACTGCCTACTTATACACTACTGTTCAAAAGTTTGGGCTTAGTCAAATTTGTATAATTTTTTTTTAAGAAATTAATACTTTCATTAATATTCTACAAACGGATCAAAAGTGATTTCAATCAGTTTTCAACATTGATAATGAGAAGAAATGTTTCTACAGCACCAAATCAGCATATTACATTTCTGAATTCCTAATGCAAATTATTAAGCTTTGCCATCACAAAACATCACAATAGAAAAGATTTCATAATATTACTGATTTTACTTTATTTTTAACAAATGAATGCAGCTTTAATGAGTGTCCGAGACTAAAATCTTAACAATCCCAACATTTTGAAAGGTAGTGAAAGTAGTCATTTCATTTGGAAACTAAATATTAAATATAATTGAAACTGGAAATGGAATTTCTATCCTGAAGTTTCTCCTCTCTCTCTGCGGTGGGGCATTACTCTTGTCTGTCACTCCTCGGGTGCAGGCGGTCGGAGGGTTACCTGCCTCATGCCCCAGGCTCAGAATTATTGCTCAACAGAATACGCTGAAATCAGTAAATCTCCTGCTACACCTGCTTTATCACCAGCACCTGTCTGGAATAGAAACTGTCCCGGACTTTAGAGAGAGGGGAAGGAAAGATGGGCCACACAGGAACATGCGCAGAACTAGAGTTCCAGTAATGCTACAGTTGTACACACAGCAGTGAGTCCGACGTGTTGATTTATAAGAACGATACACGACATGAACCGGTTAGAGCTGGCAGGGTGAAGCAGGGTGAAGTGGGTGAGAGGTGAGGGGGTGTCACGGCGGCGCGTGCTGGTGTTCGAGAGGGGACGGCAGGCAGCAGGTGCATTGTTGACACCCTAAACACATGCAAGGGCAGTGCCAAGCCCTGGAAAAGACATCTCGGCTAAGATACTGAGAAAAGTAGATGAGCCAGGACCTGCATCCTCCTGCGTTTCCATCTCAAACAGTCAACTTGGTACGTTAAACATGTCAACAGAGAAAAGATAGAAGAAAAAAAGAAAAAGAAAATGTGTGGAGATTTGGGAGATAAAGACGAAAAGAAATGATAGACAAGTCTGTCTTTCAGTTATTGCTGTCTCATACGAGGCCTAAAATCACAGTGCCTTTTTTCTGCGCTGTGTAATAGTTTGACATTAGAACAAGTGTTAATTAACCTAAAAATCGAAATACATAATCGTGCGAACATCTTTATGTATAACTGAAATGTACCTATAGGATGCTATTGTGTTGTGGGTAGTTGCAAGGCTGCCGCTATGGGTTGCTAAGTTGTTCAGAGTGGGTTTTAGCATATTGCCATGTGGTTGCTAGGGTGTTTTGGTTGGTTGCTATGTGGTTTAAACTGGTCTTTCAACCTGTCCAGCTGATAAGTGCCTAAAATCCCTCTAAAACCAGCTAATGAAGACCAATTAAAACTTTAAAAGAGTTTTTGTTTTGTTTTGTTTTGTTTTCCAGCAGAGTGCTCCAAATCTAAAATCTTGATGTTTTGTTTTGTGTTTAGTCTTGTTTCATTCTTCCAGCAGGGTGTTCCACATTTAAAGTCTCAATAATATTCTGTTTTTTTGTTTTTGTTATTTTCCAGCTATGTGCTACAAATCTAAAATCTCAATTATGTTTTTGTTGTGTTTTAAAGTTGCAATGACATTCAGTTTTTGTTTTGTTTTGTTTTTCCAGCAGGGTGCTCTACATCTAAAGACTCAGTATTCAATTTTTTGTTTGTTTGTTTTCCAGCAGTGTGCTCCAAATCTAAAATCTTAATGATATTTCATTTTGTTTTGCTTTGTTTTGTTTCGTTTCAGTCTTCCAGTCTCAATCAATGATATTGTGTTTTTTGTTTTTGTTGTTTTCCAGCTATGTGCGTCAAATTTATAATCTCAATGACATTTTCGTTTTGTTTTAAAGTTTCAGTGACATTCAGTTTTTTGTTTTGTTTTTCAGCTATGTGTTCCAAATCTAAAGTCTCAATGATATTCTGCTTAGATATGGCTCAAGTTAAAAAAAAAAAATTTATTGTCCACTGCATGAAAATTGTAAATATGACCACATAGATAGAAATGTAACAGCTCACCTCTCCTCGGCAACTCACATGACTTGAGGAACCGCTTGTGTCCATTATACAATGAGTTTTGTGCTGAAGTTTAATACTTATGCCTTAAGGTTTGTTCAAACAGCAATATTAAAGCTTAGCTTAGCAAGAACCCCTAATTAGTGGTGGTACAATGCAAGCAAACAATATCACATCTCTGCAACAAAAATAATTAATTACTTGAATTTATTTTTCCATTCGTTTGGGTTGTTTATCCTCCAGCACCCATATTAAACACTGGCCACACTTTGAAGTGAGTACACTAAAACATGGCTGAACTTTAAAGCTTGTTTGGTAAACTCATGGCACTGGCTGTGTCACCATCCCCCTGGACACAGGTGACTCACGTCAGACCCTGTCCCACTGTTGGGAGTAAATAGGCTAACACGTGGCCTGGAATGTGGCTCAAAGGAAGGACATATGCATGTCCTTGTCCCATTTTTTCTCTATGCATTAATGCAGTTTCTTTGCCGCCAAGATCTTTATCCATTAAGAACGAATATGCAGTTCAGTAGTCAATGCCTGTGTCCGATTACACAATTTTGATAAACATCAGTGTGTATCTCAGGCACCAAAACACCAAACATTTCTAAAAATCCAATCAGAATTAATTTGCATTTCCCACAATGGCTGTGAAAGAAAAAATTCAGTATTGTTTATCATTGTTGTTCTTCCAGCACACACGTTCCTCCAAGTACCTCCTCAGACCTGGTGGACTAATTGTCTCAAAAGACAAGAAAAATGTATAATCCAACACAACGATGAAATGTGAAGCAGAAGAAGCTGTATTATCCATGTCTTCCATGCCTGGTGTCTTTATATGTCTTTATCATGGAAGCAGTGGCAGTAGTCTGAAGCGTCAACCATCCAGTTCTCAGGTTTTGACAAACTGAGGGACTAAAACCCCTCTCTTGTGCTTTTATACATGATTTGGGAGTAATACGTGCCAAAAAACAACAAACATCATGGGAGAAAGAGCATTGCAGTATTAAATATTTAAGATGTCAACACAGCCTGAACAAGCACCAGGAATCTGGGCCTAGAGAGACGAAAGAGACAAGCAGTGGAGTCTGTTTATCAGTTTCAACACCTAACACACACTGTGTTGCTTCACCAAACAAAGAGGCCCTACTCTACTTATGATCATATTCTATTACAGTCATGAGCTTTAAGTAAATATATGAGCATGATGAGGCATATCTATTATGTCTTGATACAATATAGAGCATACAAACAATGAACTTCAGTGAGGAGTGTGTAAAGGGGTTGGTGGATACTAATACTAGAAGTAACCTCGAATGGATTACAATACTGCCACCATGTGGATTGTTGGTAAAACCACTGTTATGTAGTTTCCTTTTACATTAGTTTGCCCAACTTTGTTTCAGGCCATTATACAGCCGACTTTATGTACTGCATTATGGGCAGATTATTCTAGTTTTTATAAGAGGAAAACAATGCCTCTACAAAGTAGGCAAAATATATACATAAAGGAAACATAATAGATAACAGGCAGACAGACAGATCGCATGACATTCTATGCAGAATGCATTGTATTTTGTGCATTCCATCTGCTTTTTCCAAGTTCATAGCACTGTATTTTAAAATTAAACATGCCAGACTTCATGAATAGAAATTGCAAAACCAGTTATCAAGACCAAAGAAACCAGATAATGTGAAGACAGTACAAAAAAATTTGAGAAAACATTTATTTTGACATCTCTTAGAGCTCTCTGGGGTCCACTGCCCCAAAGCAGTTATGAAAAATGAAAAGCAAACCAATCAATACATGAAGCATAACGGAGATCAAGAGTGTCAAATATTGAGAAACACAACAGGCTGAACAACAGCTCCATCCACTGTCCGGTGACATGAATGTTACACAACATCACATTAACTGCTATCATATATTCGTGCTGCTTTCTGCTAATGAAGTCCACAGAGAATCCAGAATTGGTTTCAGTCTCTAAATGACATGACAGATGCACTGGTGAACATGCACACCATCCAAAGTCACTCACAGCCATTCTAACTTGCTTTGATATATTCACTCGTTCTTTAAAAAATACAAATAAAACATTCAAGTGTCCTCAGATTGGTTTGGGCAGAGACGTGACTTCCTCCAGACACTCAGCATAGGCTTCTTTATATTCATCATGAGGTTTGACCATGATAACACAGGTGGGACGCTTCGATCCAGCTGATGAGCCCAAATCCTGCGGAAGGGGAAAACAAACACATGAGTATTGTAACACTGTACTGTATTTGATTTAGAAATATTTAGTATAGCGTTCTGATGAACTTACAACTTTAGATGGCACATAAGCATAGGGCAGGTTTCTGTCTTCACACATGATTGGTAAGTGGCAATACACTTCGATGGGAAGAGTGTCTCCAGCAAACACCACAATACTACAAGATGACAGAAAATGTGTTAAAATAACAACCATTAATGTGGACTTGATGCTGAAACATGAGGAAAAGAAACCTCGCCTTACCCCTTCTCTCCTTTGTTGAGAAATTTCTGTACCTCTTTTACTCCTCGTCGGATCTGTTTGATTTTAGCCGCTTTGTAAAATAATTAAGAACATTTATAATTAATACCTGACTGCAACCACGTGGCTGTTTCTTTAGCGATAAAACAGCCATATTTAATACATTTTATTCAGATTCAAATCTGCTATAGCTTATAGAAAATAGTTTTTGAAACACATTTTTACCTTTTTTGACGCACTTGTAGAGCTTTTTGCTTAGTTTACGCGATGCAAGCGGGTTTGCGATTGGGTTTACATTAGCTATTAATTCTTGATAGGATTTCTCTGTTCCCCCGGTCTCCTCTTCGACAGTTTTCTCCTTCTTTACCTTCGTCATGTTTCGCTACAATATGTGAAACAAACTTGAGGCCGATTTTTCTGTTGCTGGAGAACACACGCGCAGCAACTCTAACCGTACTTCCGGTGTTTTGTTTCTTCACTCGCGGCACGAACTGTGAGCAACATTTGTGAACAGTGACCCCTTGTGCACAGAATGAACAAATGATGAGATTTTATTCAGTCAAACCTTCTGCCTCGCACACATACTCAAAACTAATCGTCTGCAACATTTACAAAGAATACTTCCGTAAAAACCTTAGTTTAAAGAAATTAGCTTACAGTTTTTCTTCTCGGCTACCAAAAAAAAAACAAAAAAAACTATCAGGGAAAACTATTACAAACGAAATAAATACATATAAATACTTTTTATGTTCATTTTATCTCCCACATAACATTGTTCAATTCCACTTTGGATGCATGTGAAAATTCTCCCCTCAAAAAGAGAAATCTTTTAGCATTTGTTTTGGGTACTGGTGGCCTTTAACACTTACTTGACATTTCACAACAGAACAGACAGACTTTCCGGTAAGGTTAAAATAACATTCTATGTATTAACATTAGTTTAACGTTAAAACTAACTAATATAAAGTAGAATGAACAGTATATTCTTAAATTAACATTACTCAAGATCAGAGAATGCTGTAAACATGGCTGTTCATTGTTAATTCATGATACCTACTTCATTAACTAGTGTTAAACATATAGAATATTATTATAAAGTGTTACTTTCTTATAAAAGTCATTACTGCTTTATCCCTTAAGCTCCAAAACTACTAATCACTTACATAAACCACCATGACAAGGGTGTAAAGTGCATTTTCCGGGTCAATTTAACACTACGATTCTTATTACACTACAAATGTAGTGTCTTTAACACACAAAAGACATCAATGAATCTTTCCAAACATTAAATGGGCATTGGACATTCTGTAAATTGGGGGGTTCAAAACTAAAACAAAAAAATGACAAAAAAAGCCTGATTGTGTAGATTACACGTTAGGGAAAAAAAATTATAAATGCATATAAATAACCATTACTTCAAAGAGTAAGTCAAACATGTAGTTGTCTAGAGATGTAAGAACAATGGTATCGTACATACTAAGAGAGAGAGAGAGTGTGTGTAAAAAAAACCTAAGCGGGACAGGACTGAACTAAGGTCCTGTCACTGCTCCTGTGTCTTCACAGCTATACCCACATGGGCATGGCGAATGGTACGTCCATGCAGCATGTAACCGTCTTGCTTCACCACAGCTATGGTGCCAGGCTCCACTCCCTCTGCTGGAGTATGACAGACTATTTCATGCTGATATGGGTCGTAGGTGGATCCCACAGGGCTCATCGTTAGGGAAAAAAAATTATAAATGCATATAAATAACCATTACTTCAAAGAGTAAGTCAAACATGTAGTTGTCTAGAGATGTAAGAACAATGGTATCGTACATACTAAGAGAGAGAGAGTGTATAAAAAAAACCTAAGCGGGACAGGACTTAACTAAGGTCCTGTCACTGCTCCTGTGTCTTCACAGCTATACCCACATGGGCATGGCGAATGGTACGTCCATGCAGCATGTAACCGTCTTGCTTCACCACAGCTATGGTGCCAGGCTCCACTCCCTCTGCTGGAGTATGACAGACTATTTCATGCTGATATGGGTCGTAGGTGGATCCCACAGGGCTCATCTTCTCCAGTCCATGCTTGGTGAAGATGTCCTGCAGCCGTCCCTGTATGTGTGCCATGTATTGTGTCAGCTGCTGTACTCCATCTCCCTCCTCAACCTTCTCTAACAGGTCTGCCACCTCCACAATGTCACGGCAGAAACTCTGAATCCCTATAGGAGGAGCGTAACGTTTAATGGAATGCTGCTTTAAGAATGCAATGCGAACAGCTATAATGTGTAGCTAAATTAAAGTAGGTTACCAAATAGTTTGGCGTCCTCAACAAATTTCTGTGTTCTTCTTCTAACATTGTCAGAGTCAGCTAGGGCTCGTTTGTATCTCTCCTGTGAAAAGAACAAAAAGTGAGTAATAATTACCGTAAGAAAAAAGCAAAAACAACCAAATTACAAATATAACACTGATTAAAACTAATGGCCATTATAATTTAATTATAGCAATTAAAGGGATAGTTGACCCAAAAATGAAACTTCTGTCATAATTTACTCACCCTTGTTCAAAAGCTGTATGAGTTTCTTTCTTGTGTGGAACACAAAAGAAGATATTTTGAAAAATGTTGGTAACCA